CAGGAGCTGCTGGGTCCCGGCTGCTTGTGCGGCTAGAATCTGGCCAATGCCCCTTCTTTAGGTGACTAGCAACTGTCACCCCATCATGGGGAGAGAAGATGGGGGATGCTGTGTGACTGAATAGGGCCATTTTTATCATTGTTGCTATCACTGTTATAAAACTGCAACAAATCTTATATGGAGCATGTCCTGTTGGGTGTCAAAGGGAATGTTATGATTTTCTATAGTGGACTGATGATGCATCTTAGGTGGTGCCAATCCACATCTGATGAGCTCCTCTGTGAACGTTCAGCCCACCATGGGAGCGTTGACTGCTACCGGAAAAGTTCTAAGTCATGCATGGACAGGGGACTTGCTCATGTAGCAAACTCAATCTTGTAGCTGTATTTTTTCTCTAAAGAGAACAATGGGAGTTCCGCCACATGGCCAAGGATATAAGTAAAGGTTCCTGGAGGTTCCATCATTTTTCCTTCAATCCCGCTTTTCATTTTTGGAGGATCTTTTGGATATTCTGAAATTGGAAATGTCTGATCACCCATCCTAACAGTGAATATATTCCACTTTCTTTCTTTCTTTCTTTCTTTCTTTCTTTCTTTCTTTCTTTCTTTCTTTCTTTCTTTCTTTCTTTCTTTCTTTCTTCCTTTCTTTCTTTCTTTCTTTCTTTCTTTCTTTCTTTCTTTCTTTCTTTCTTTCTTTCTTTCTTTCTTTCTTCCCATTCCTACTGGGCATTTGCAAGGGAGAACACACCATGGAGATCACAGGATTATCCCTACTTGGTTTCCTAATCAACTACAGTTACACAAATATAATGAGCAGGGAATTCCTCCCTGACTTAACACTATGGCCAAGTGTTCTCATTTCCCTTTGGGAAGGTCCCTTAATTGCTGTTTACAGCAAAAGATGGATAAATAGCACAAAAGTGCAGGCTGACTTGTCTCCTGCCTGCTTACATTCATATGCCCTGCTCTCTAGAGGCTGAGCGAGCCCCACAGAGTGGTGTTATAAACAGTGCACAGCCCTGTGTCGGCTCTCGGCGTGGGATGCTGGTGGGAGAGAGACACACAATACGACTACCGGAGAAGTCTCATTGAAGACACTTTTGACTCTGAATTCACAGGTACCCTTTTCTCGATAATTCCAGGGCCACCTGGGCACCATGGGGTAGACAGTAAGTCCTTGGTCCTTTGTGCTCTGCACAGCCATTTCACATCCCATGGCCCTGACCAAATGGGATGAGTTGGCTCCAGGGTCCATGGCCAAAAGTCCCTCTCTTCTGCAAACCCCCATCTATAGGGGCTGATGACCTCCAAACCAGAGACCCCTGTTTTCCTTATCACGTTGGATCCTTCAGAATGAAAAGTGTTGGTAGATCACAGAACCATAGCTGTTTAGTGTGGTAAGAGAACTTAGGAGGTCTTCTAGTCCAATTCCCTGCTCAAAGAAGGAGCAGCCTCAAGTAAACCATCCCAGCCAAGCCTTAAAAACATCTAGGGATGGAGATTCCACCATTTGCCAAGGCAACCCAACCCAGTGCTTCCCCATCTGTCTAGTGATATAATTTTTTTCTGAATATCCAACCTAGACCTCCCCCACTGCAGCTTGAGACTATTGTTCCTCGTTCTGCCACCTGCCACCACTGAGACCAACCTCTCTCCATCCTCTTTGGAACTTCCCTTCAGGAAGTTGAAGGCTGCTCTCAAATCCCCCCTCACTCTTGGCTTCTGCAGACTAAATAACACAAATCCCTCCGTCTCTCCAGACTTGTTGATTTCTCCCCCTAAGATGCAGAATGCAAAGAGCAATTCATAAGAACATAAGAACATAAGAACGGCCGTATTGGGTCAGACCAAAGGTCCATCTAGCCCAGTATCCTGTCTCATGACAGTGGCCAGAACCAGGTTCCCCAGAGAGGGTGGACCGAAGACAATGATCAAGCGATTTGTCTCCTGCCATCCCTCTTCAGCCTCTGACAAACAGAGGCCAAGGACACCATTTTATCCCCTGGCTAATAGCCTTTTATGGACCTAACCTCCATGAATTTATCCAGCTTCTCTTTAAACTCTATTATAGTCCTAGCCTTCACAGCCTCCTCTGGCAAGGAGTTCCACAGGTTGACTACACGCTGTGTGAAGAAGAACTTTCTTTTATTAGTTTTAAATCTGCTACCCATTAATTTCATTCGGTGTCCTCTAGTTCTTATATTTAGGGAACTAATAAATAACTTTTTATTATCTGAGGCTATGGCCAGTGCTTTGCCCAGGCCCCACAGAGGCAAAACGTCTCTTAGAATAAGAACTGAGAAAATAGCTGAGGCGCCAGCTGTGTGTTAATGTACAGACACTGCTGCCTTCTCTTGCATCCCGTGTCTAGTTGTTAGCGGCAGGAAGAGGCTGTTACCTGGCACTTACCTGCTGGAGGTACTAAGACTGCTCCCTGGAATACGAGTTTTTCTGCCTGGACACGATGCCCTGTCTCCTTTCTTCATTTGAGAGAGGGATTGAACTGTCCTGCCTGACACTTTTGAAGAAACAATTCATCCAGAAGCAATCAGCCACCACAGGTCATTTCAGTCAAATGCTTAAAGGCTGACAAATTTACAAAAAGCCGGTCTTCTTTTTGAAGGTGTCAAACAGTCTACGCCAAGTAGGGTGCCACCAGGGCCTGCTGTTCAAGCCAACCCATCTTTCAATGCCATTCAGGTACGCTCTTCTGCGCAATGATGTCAGTGACAAGGAGTTCCACAGGCCAAATATGAAAAAGACATCTGTACAAATTTCCTTCACCCGTGGTATAAGTCTCAAAGTTCAATGCAATTACATCGTTTCTGGCGCAGAGTAAATATAAAGGCCTGTAGCCCATACGGTTAATATTTGCCATCCACAAGGTTTCTTAATAGCTTGCATAATATACCTGCTATATTTCACAGAAGGCTTTCTCTGTTGATGTGATTGTTTGTGTTGTTATCTTCAGGGAGTTTGCTTTCTACCGGATCTCGTTATATATTACTCATAACAGTTGGTTGTAGCTCCAAGGAACCTAAACACCTCTATCACTTAAGGATAGTTAGAGTCACTTAATGGTCACAACATTTGACAGAGATAAATGTCCTATGGGTGAACTCCTTTGTCCTTTGTCTCTTGGAGAATTCAATATGGAATTGAGTGTATGTCAACACTAGCCTCCTAGATCGATCTAGGGAGGCTAATTAGGGTGACCAGAATTGCAAATCAAGCCCGGGATTTAAATATCCCGCGCTTGATTTGCATGTTCCCGGCCAGTTGCCATTTTAGAAATTGACTAGCCCGAAGTAACTGCTTGCATCTACACGTGGCAGTGAAACGGGATTTCGATTTAAAGCCCTAACTCGAATTAGCTGATATTCCTCCTTAATGAGGTTTACCAGCTAATTCGAATTAGGGGCTTTAAATTGGAATCCCATTTCAATACCGCATGTAGACGGGGGCAGTTACTTCGGGGTAGTCAATTTCTAAAATGGCAACCGGCTGGGAACTTTGAAATCTGCCTCCCCCTCATTCCCCTGTCCTCCCCCCGGCCAGGTCTGTTCATGGCCAGGAGGCGGAGCCTAGCCATGTACGTCACCGCCCCACCCCATCTTCCCTTCCTGCCATGGTGCTCAGTTGACTTCTGCACCTGGTGGCCTGGCTGAGTGGTACAGAAGTCAGACGAGTGCCACTGTGGGAGGCAACAGCACCTCTGAGAGGTAACATGTAGCACTACAGTGTTACAGAGTCACAGATATTGGGCTACGATATGTATGATGACAGGGGAGAAGAAAGCAAAATAAAGTATTTCAGGTACATGTTCCGAAGTAATACAGAAAAAAGACAGGTGTCTTCAAATGCCAGGACTTTACCCCAGAACACTCAAGCTGACCGAGGAGATAGGTGAGGATTTTGTGACAGTCTTCCATGACCTTCTCATTAATAAACACGGAAAAAATACAACTTTGATGGAGCTACTATTAGGTGGCAACACAACGGATTGGACAGCTCTTCCTGAGAGTGGTTATCAATGGTTGACAGTCATGTTGGAAGGACATGACAAATGAGTTCCATGGGGCACAGTTTGGGAGTTACTTATATCCAGTGTGTTCGTCTATGATTTAGACAAGGCATAGCGAGCACACTTATAAAATGTGAAGCTCATTCCAAGCTGGGAGGGGTTGCAAGTGCTTTGGAAGCTAGGGTCATAGTTCAAAATGATCTGGAGAAAAGGAGAAATGGTCTGGGGAAACAGGATTTAATAAGCAAAATCCCAGGTACTCCAAATAGGAGGGAAAAGATCTATTACACACGTACAAAATGGGAAGCGACTGTCTAGGGAGGAGGACTGCAGGAAGGGATCCGGGGGTCATTGTGGCCCCCAAACTTCCTATGAGTGAACAGAGTGACACTGTTACAAAAGAATGACACATCATTCCAGGATAGATTAACTGGAAAGTTGTGAGCAAGACATCCTAAGTCCTTCTTCTACTCCTCTCTGCACGGATCAGGCTTCAGCTAGAGGATTGTGTCCAGTCCTGGGCGCCACACCTGGACACATGGGAGAAAGTAAAGAAAAGAACAATGAAAAATGATTAACGGTGTAGAAAACATGACCTATAAGGGAAGATTGAAACAATCTGTTTTGGTTAGTGTGGAAAAGAGGAGAATGAGAAGGGACACAATGTAAGTTTTTAAGTATCTTTGGGTATGTCTACACTACAGCATTAATTCGAACTAACTTAATTCGAATTAGTTAATTCGAACTAAGCTAATTGGAACTAGTGCATCTAGACCTAAAAACTAGTTCAAATTAGCATTTTGCTAATTTGAACTAGCATGTCCTCATTGAGTGGACCCTGAACCGAGGTTAAGGCTGGCCGGAAGCAGTGCCGGCAGGGCATCAGGCTAGGACTTAGGGCTGTGCTTAAAGGGACCCGACCCCCACCCCGGACAGACAGTTCTCAGAGGTTCCCCGCTCGCTTGTCTAACTCGATGAGGGACAGCAAAGCAGTCCTGTTTTGGAGTGCCCTGAATGCCCACACTCGGCACATCACAGCACTCGGCCATCAGCCCGGCTGCACTTGCCGCAGGCTGCCATCTGGGAGGATCAATTGGGGGGCTGCAGGAGAGTTTCCGCCCAAAGGAGCCCGCAGAGCTACCCCAGTCCTCCCCATCGGTAGCTCGTACCCCATTCCTCCCTCACCTACTTCCACTTACCCCTCCCTAGCCCCCCTTCCTGATGTACAAAATAAAGGACACGTGTGTTCAAAAAAATAAACTCTCTTTATTGAACAAAACTCAGGGAGACTGGGAAAAGGAGGTGGGAGAGGGGA